TGCAAAATTCTACCATGTGATTTCCAGCATTATTTCTGTGACCAAGGCCAAATTTTCTAACTACCTGTGATTCTTCTTTGTTTCCTACTTTTGCATTCCAGTCACCAGTGATAATTAACACATCCTGATTGCACGTTTGGTCTATTTCAGACTGCAGAAGTTGATAAAAATTTTCAATTTCCTCATCTTTGGCTTTGGTGGTTGGTGCATAAATTTGAATAATAGTAGTATTAATGGGTCTTCCTTGTAGGCATATGGATATTATTTATCCTATCACTGACAGCACTGTACTTCAGGACAGATCTTGAAACATCTTTTGTGATGATGAATGCCACACCATTCCTTTTCAAACTGTCATTCCCAGCATAGTAGATCATATGGCTGGCTGATTCAAAATGGCCAAAACCAGTCCATTTCAGTTCACTTATGTCTAGGATATCAACCTGCATGCATTCCATTTCATTTTTGACAACTTCTAATTTTCCTAGATACATACTTTGTATATTCCATGTTCTGATTATTAATGGATGTTTGCAGCTGTTTCTCCTCAATTTGAGTCATGCCACGTCAGCAAATGGAGGTCTGGAAAGCTTTACCTTATCCATATGAGTAAGGCTGATTTTACTCTGATGATGCAACTCTTTCCCAGTCCTGTTTTGAGAGTCTTCTAATCTAAGTGATTCATCATCCTCCTCTCTATTAGACAATGTTTCCAGACTATTCATAAAGTTGCCCAGTAATGTATCAGTGTTTCTCTGCTATTCATAAGGTTTTCCCCGGCCAGTTCTTTGAGAAGCGGATGGCCTCCTCCTTCTTCCTAGTCTGTCTCAGTCTGTAAGCCACACTTATACCTGTGCACCATGTGCACCTGCTGGGTTTGAAACACTGGTAGCACAGCCTCAAGACTCACAGCAACACATCACCACAGTAGGACAAAGCGACAGACAAGTCTGTCTCCCTTAGCTGTTGGAAACCTCTCCAACCTCCCCTCACCTGGATCCCTACTGCTGCCTCCTCGTTCTGTCCCAGTCCCCCTGGCCTTTTTCTGTCCTCTCCCATACTTCCCCACCTTGCCACTTGTGGGGCGTGGCCTGGGTTCCCTCCGCTCACCTGGATCCCTGCAGCTGACTCTGCATCATACAATTATGTAAATAAAAACAAACCAAAAAACTACACACAGAAGATACTGGGATGGCACTACAGAAAATGTTCGTTTGTTCCATGCTGTAAAATTATGGATGTCCTTTTTCTTTTCCTTCTATTTCAGTGCAATTTCCTTAATTTGATATAATATAGATATGTAACCGTTACAATGAAAAAATGAATTTTCTTTAAAGGAATTAATGAGTAACAGCTAATAATTAATTAACGTAATTAATAAATGATTAACACAAGGAATTAATGATTATCAACATAACATATTTGGAACAGTGAATCACACAGACTAAGTGTTCAATAACTGTTAGCTATTGTCATTCTTTTTTTCTTACTCTATAGCTCTCTTCCCACTTCCTCCCCATGGTTACCTTTTCCCTGTGTCCTTCCCTCCCATGCACTCCTGCCCCCTGAGCTGTCTCCCTGCGTAAACGCCGCCCTTATGTTCTCCCACAATTGATCACTCCAAGGAGTGCATCTACCTGATGTACCTCATATGCCTGTCTGTTGTTTGGCTGGAAGTCACAGGAGTGACTTCAGTTCCAGACCTGAACAGTGACCAGGGGCCATAGCCTTGGGGTCTCACCAGGCTCTATCAGACCAGCAAACCTGGTCCTTTTTTTATGATTTCAAGTTTTGTTCTATGTTGTTCTCACACTCTATCCAAGATCTCCTGCACTGATTCCCCTCTGAGTGGTTGACAATGGGAGCTGGACACCGTCTAGTTCTTCTGGTCTCAGGGTCATATAGACTGAGGATCACACAGTGTACCAGTCCCTTTGACTCATTGTTTCCATGGAAAAAAAGGAAAGAAAACCTCACTGCTGTGGCGTCAGATCCAACTCATAGCGACCCTTCCTTGGGTTTCTGAGGCAGTATCACTATGGAAGTAGGTTGCCCAACCTTCCTTCCAAGGAGTGGCTGGTGGGTTTTAACCACCAGCCTTCTGGTTAGCAGTCAAATACCTTAGGCCCTACACCACCAGAGCTTTGGTTTTCTTCATTCTTCTTTGCTCTCGTTGCATCTAGATGGCTGCCTGCAAGCTTTTTACACCCCAGCCGCTACTCACCACCACAGGGTGTGGAACAATGTTTTTGTTGGCGGTTGAGCTTGATGTCCCCTGCGACCATGATCCCAAGCCCACAGGTCCAACTACTCGCTCCCTCAGGGTGGTTGGCTGTGACTAAGTAGTTATCATAACTTTGCCCCTGTTAGCTCTATTATATATTTGGACAGTCTTACAGCATGTACAAATATGTACGTAGAAACATCATGTACCAACTTATATATGGTCATGGGTATATTCCCTTTTGTCTAGACATCCCTGATCGTTCAACTACCGTCATTATTACAGTTTAGCAGAAGAACAGCACAATTTAATACAGTTCAGCTCAGTTAAGGGTACCCATAGTATCTTAGGGAACAAATCCCAAACGCATTCATCATGAGTAGCTGTTTTCCCACCTGATCGTGTACGAACCACTTTGGAAAAGAAAACTTCACCTTTCAAGTCCACGCCCTCCCTGCCAGCCCGCTGGGCTCACAGGCACTTACCTGCATGGGAGAGACGGCTGCTGCTGGGGGCGTCTTCATGGGGCTGGGACTGAGAGGCGTTCTTGGGATGGCAGCTGCAGCAGGACTCGGGACTGCACAGGTGACAGAATAAGAAGCCAGTCGTGACCGCATTGTGGTGTGTGCTACGCGGGCTGCAGACGCATGTCAGCGCCAGCCCCTCGAGCTCTGCCTCACCTTATCAAGACACGTTCATCTGCCCAGTTACACAGGCAACTGATGTGGTCCTTTTAATGATGTCCAGGTAACTTACAGGTTTGCTACTTTTTTCAAACACTACAATGAAGACTCTGTGTGAACATGTATGTTCTTTAACATCCACAATGTGTCCTGTGAGATAGGCCGTCACGCAAACACTGTATTATGCACAGTTGCAAAGCAATCTGTACATAAACCCCTGTAGAAACTATTGTAGCAAATCCCACAGAAGCTGCCGGACAAAGCCTGAGAGTTGTAGTCCTTGGATGGGAGGCTGGCCACGCAGGGTGAGGGGCTGAGATTGGGTGGGGCTGCGCTGGCAGCCAGATTGGGACTTGGCACACGTCTGAGCACAGGGCACGCAGGGCCCGGGTGTGCAGGTGCCAGGAGTGTAGCTGGCAGCAGCAGCCCTGGATGCCACCACTCTGTTGGCACAGCTGCTTCTTGATCACATATAGCCATCACCACCCTGGCCCAAGAGCCCACAGGTGACCTGGGCCTGGCCGCCACCACCACCACCCAGAACAGGGAGCCCATGGGTGCCCCAGGCCTGGCCGCCACCATCCCCCCCCCCCAGGGCTGGGAGCCCACGGGTGCCCTGGGCCCAGCTTCCACCACTGCCACCCAGGGCCAGAAGCCCAAGGGTGCCCCGAACCTGGCCACCATCACCACCACCCAGAGCAGAAAGCCCATGGGTGTGCCAGGCCCAGCCACCCCCACCACCCAGGGCCAGGAACCCACAAGTGTCCCGGGCCCAGCCACCACCACCACCCAGGGCCAGGAACGACGGGTGCCCCGGGCCCAGCCACCACCACCACCCAGGGCCAGGAGCCCACAAGTGTCCCAGGCCTGGCCGCCACCACCACTACCCAGGGCCAGGAACGACGTGTGCCCTGGGCCTGGCTGCCATCCCTACCACCCAGGACAGGAAGCCCACAAGCACCAGGGCTCGGCTGCCACCCCACCCGGGGCCAGGAGCCCGTGAGTGAGCTGGGCCCAGCTGGCACTGCCAGCCCCCATGGCAACAGCAGAACAGCCACTGCAGGTGCTGCCCAGCACGGGGAGGGAGCGGCTGCCAGGCGGATGGGTGGAGCCAGGAGGAGCCGCTGCTGGGTCTGGATGCACCCTGGAGTCCCGCTGCATGCTCACGCTGGGGGCTTGGGGTTTTAAAAACCATTGGGGGAAATAATAAAACTAGAGCTGCCGTCCTTGTTCTGAAAGGCCCCTTACCAGACCACGGATGCACAGGAGGTTGCAAGCTACCCAGCAGTCCTTAAGTGACACGTACCTGTGTGTCTATCTCCATAAACCTGGGCTACTGCTATAATTTTATACAAGTAACACGTGTGTTATATGTCGTCTGCCCATTGCTCACCCCCTCATGTGTTCTTTTCCTGGGCATACTATGCACATCACATGTGTGGGCATGTTATTGGTTGGGGCAGTGGGGAGGAAGATGTTATCTATATAAGAACTTCAGGGTCTGTGAACATGGCGTTTTCAAACTGGAAGATGCCCTGTCCTCCCAATGGCTACTAACACACATTTCTACCAACAGTACACGCGGCCCAGATGGTGTGCAGGGTGCGCACGTGACCTTGATGGCGTGTGGGGGTGTATATGAGATGTTTGATCTGCTTTTAAGTCCAAGCAAACAGATCTGTGTACAATCCCAGGACACAGACCATAGAAAATTCTACCAGTGCTGGAGTGAATTCCCGAACAACTGTCCGGTATCTAAGCCCTACAGCAAAAACACCCCCAAAGCTTCTGAGGCCCGACAACAGCGGAGCCTGATGCGTACGGACATCCGCCTGAGCGCCGTGCTCTAAGAGCTCTGTGCAGGGTTCTAACTGACAACACCAACGGGAATGAGGGGCGGGGACCTCGGGGGTGGGAGTCCGTGCCGATGGAGGGGGGAGCAGCTGCACCACCCTGAATGTCACCCGTGTCACTGGCGGGCTGGGTGGGAACTGCTGAACTGATGCATGTCCTGCTGTGCATACTCTCAACAACAAGAACAAGTCAAGTTTCAAACAACTCACTGCTACTGAGCTGGACCAGACTCATAGCGACCCCTCCTTGGGTTTCCGAGGCAGCATCTCTACGGAAGTGGATTGCCCAACCTTCCTTCCGAGGAGTGGCTGGTGGGTTTGAACCGCCAGCCTTCTGGTCAGCAGTCAAGTGCCTGAGGCACTGCATCACCAGAGCTCCCACTTAAAATTCAGAAGGAGAAAAAAAAAGCCAGCCCTGGCACTGTGTGTGGCCTGCTGCAGGGGAGACTACACTCTGACGGGGTTAAGGAGCCAGGTTAAGATCTCTGATGTGGACGGATCCTGAACCTCCTCCCAGGAGTCCCCTTTCCCTGAGCCTAATGGGTTGACGCTCTCTGACGTCGGCTGAGCCCGAGCGAGCTGGTAAAGCCTGACCCAGCTAGCCTGGAGAGTACAGGGCCAGGGGTACCATATGCCCTCACGTGGAACCAAGTACCTTGAGAAGCGCTGTCGAAGGACTTGATGAGGGTCTTGACAGTGGGGGTCGGCTCCGACGACGTCGAGGACCTCCTGCTGAGCCCCATGCCCTGTCGCAAGGCCGCCAGGTCCCTCTCGACAGCATTCATGTAGTTATACACACGGCCTCGCTCCTCCTCCTGCCTGGGAACACAGAGATCAGGAAGCTCTCCCATGTGCACCAGAAGGTCTCGGTGACCTCTCCCAGTCACAAAGCATGAGCCGGCATCCAGGAAAGACACAGAACTGCATGGCGCTCGGAGTGGACCAAGGGCCTGACCTAAAGCTCTCACCCACTTGCCACCCTCCAGGAAACGGTCCTGTCTTTACACTGACTCATCCTAAGTGGCTTAAGTAACCATCATGTTCCAAGTTCATGTGATAAGTGCACAGTGAGGACACAGTTATCAACCAGAGGGAAATGGGAAGCAACGTGGCCAAGATCCCAACTCAGGACAGGGAGGGAGGTCCTTCCCAAGGGCCTGGGTGGTGATGTCTGCACAAGCGGCCCCGGACCAACCAACCAGGCCACGCATGCACGTGAACACAAGAGGCCTCAGACCGACCAACCAGGCCATGCATGCGTGTAGACATGAGCAGCCCTGGACCGACCAACCAGGCCATGTGTGTACATGGACACAAGCAGCCCCAGACTGACCGACCACACCATGCGTGCACGTGGACACGAGCGGCCCTGGACTGACCAACCAGGCCACGTGTGCATGTGGACACAGAAAGCCAAAGACCATGCTCTGCAAAGAGCAGAGCAAAACCACTGTCATCTCCAAACAATCTCCACAGACGGAAAAGTAAAGCTGACATCCGCATTAGTAACCTGACTCCCAAAGACGCTTCAGCTTGATGGGCCTTGAGTCACCTAGAAACTTAATTCCATTTCCATCCTGGTGGGCGCCCTGTCACCCAGCTGGCTAACAGTCCTGGTGGGGAATGACGGCTGCAGAGCTGCACACATCACAGAGCCGTCGAGGGCTTCTCCAGGATGACAGAAACAATGCCAGGCCCAGGAGGAAGCATGGTCTCGTGTCGCCAGCTCTTCCAGCCCAGCCTTTGTTCTCAAGACGCACCCCGGGTCTCACGCTCAGCCGGCCGGTACGATGCGAAGTTTTACTAAAGAATCAATAGCGATAAGCAAACCTTTTGGTCTCAGGGCCCCTTTAGACACCTAAAATTTATCCAGGGCCCAAAGGATACTCGTCTATGGAGACTGTATCAACTGCCTCTTACTATATTAGAAATTAAAATGAAGAAATACCTAGAAGTATTTAATGAGTTAAAAAATAAAAATAAACTGGGACTTAGTAACATACAGGAGCTTTGGTAGCACAGTGGTTAAAGCAAGCCCACCAGATACTCTGTAGGAGAGAGATGAGGCAGTAGGATTCCATGAGGACTGACAGCCTTGGAGACCCTCTGGTGCAGTTCCACTGTGTCCTCTAGGGGCGCTGTGGGTCAGAATGGACTCCAGGGCAGTGGGTGTGGTTGGGGCTTTGCTTCCCTGAAGACTGACAGCCTTGGAGACCCTGTGGGCAGTTCCACTCTGTCCTCTAGGGGCGCTGTGAGTCAGAATGGACTCCAGGCAGTGGGTGTGGTTTGGGCTTTGCTTCCCTGAAGACTGACAGCCTTGGAGACCCTGTGGGCAGTTCCACTCTGTCCTCTAGGGGCGTTGTGCATTGGAATCCACTCCACAGCAATGGGCTTCATTGTTTTATATTAACATAAATATCATTTTTATGAAAAAAAACAAACAATATTTTCCAAAAACCTGAATAAACCAGTAATAAGTGTGGTGAGACGTTTTTCATCCCTGTAAATCTCTGCCTGTTTGGCCTCAGAGGAGACCGCGGGGTTTTCATCCTGCTTCTGCAGCCTACAGGAGGGAAAAGAGGCCAGCCTCGTGCAGATGTGTAGCAGGAAAAGATAAGGCTATGTTCACAGTCTGCTCAGACAGCTGCTCTTCTCCTGCCAACATCAGAACTCAACAAGGGCAGTGACCTCCAGCTGCTGCAGGATGGAACCTGAAACCTTACGGATGAACACTTCCTACCTCGTCACTGAAAGCCGCTTGTCAGGCCTGTGCTCTGAATGGCTCTACACCCGCTTGTGACCCTGTGACCTCACGCATGGGTCATACACTGGCGACACAAGTTTTATACCATAGGAGAGGAATCACCACCTCTCTCCAGGTCCTGCTTATTAAAGAGGCCAAAGCAAGGTGGCTGGGTGGCACTTTTCTTGGGGCCATAGCCTAGAACTGGAAGTAATAAAGGAGGCACCTTTCAAAACTGTACTGAAATGTTTCTCTAAACTTGCTTCCTGGGACAGCTTACAGATTACGCCAAGTACAGGATCCCGAGCACAAGCAGGAACGTCACTATTCCACACTCACAGACGGCATCTCCTCGTGGGGCCCGGCGCCCATCATAAGCACCAGCTCACCTAACACTGCATGGGGCTTTCCATCAGTCTCTTGCGTACACGGAAAATGCACTGCTCTGGACATGCGTGTGGCATCAAATAGAATGGGTCGAAAAGCCTCACCGGGCACCAGGGAGGAACCCGCTGTGTGCTCTCTACGGCGGTCATGTCAGCAGGCAGCCCATCCCTGCAGAAGGACCCCGTGAACCCACTGTGTGCTCTCTACGGCGGTCATGTCAGCAGCAGGACCCATCCCTGCAGAAGGACCCCGTGCTTGCTGAAGTGGAATGCCAGTGAGGAAGGGGAAGGCCTCGCCGAGATGGACTGACCCAGGGGCTGCCCCGTGGGCTCCAGTGCAGCAATGACCAGGAGGCTCTCAGGACCGCGTTTGGTTCTGCCGCACACGGGTCGTTATGAGCCAGAGCTGACTCGACAGCCCGATGATAACAACTACGGTCTCTACCCTGACAGCGAAAGCGTGCTGCTCACTGCCCTGCACACACCAGTCACAACCGCATTCGATCCTTACACGTCCGTGAACGAGGTGAGCTGTGTCCATTTTCAAGATGAGAAAACTGAAGCTCCGGGCGTGGAGGGCCTGGCGCAGGATCACACACCTGGCAGGAGGCAGAGCCCATCCTAATTAGGAGGCTCTAAGCTAAAACACCGAACAGGCTGGGGGTGGGTGGGGGAGGACGCGCAGGGACGGTGATTCCAAGAAAGCCGTCCTGCCTCCCTCCAGCCTTGCTGGGTAGCGACTGGGGCCCTGAAAGCTCGCAAGCAGCTATCTAAGTGACAACTGCTGTGTGTCCTCGTCCAGAGAAAAGAAGAGTGAAGAAAATCAAAGACACGTGGAAACAGTCCAAAGGACTAGTGGACCACCTGAAGTTCAGCCTCTAAGACCCTGAGACCAGAACCGGAGGGTTCACGGCCACTACCGTCAACCATTCGGAAAGGGATCAGGATTGGAGATCCTGCATGGGGTGGGAGAAGACTGTGGAACAAAATTCAAAATCATCAAAAAGCCCACACTTACTGGTCTGCTGGAGATGGTGAAACCCCTGAGACAATGGCCACTAGTCACCCATCAGGCCTAGAATTGCACTCACTCCCGTGGCTTAACTCTCAGCCAACAACAGACAGGACTACGAGCTGAACACCTGCACCAGAGGGATGGGCGCCCTTGAAAAGCAATCAGAAAGAGCCGTATTCACAGTGCTGCTTCACAGGTGGCTTAAAATGAGGCCCAGAGAAGTTGAGTTGAGTTCTCCCAGGAGACCCAACCCGGTCACTTACAACTCAAGTTCCTTCCGTAAGGCCACAGCACACGAGCGGACTCCTAGAAGCAGACGCACACCCCGCTGGGCACCAAGCAGACTCCTAGAAGCAGACGCACACCCGCCGGGCGCCGAGCGGACTCATGGAAGCAGACGCGCACCCGCCGGGCACCGAGCGGACTCGTAGAAGCAGACGCACACCCACTGGGCACCAAGCAGACTCACGGAAGCAGACACACCCCTGCCAGGCACCTAGGGGACTCGTGGAAGCAGACGCACACACCCTCGCTGGGCAGCACGTACTTGCGTGACTTGATTTCCTCCAGCTCTTTGGTGAGCTTCTCGCTCTTCTCCTGAGCCTCATGCAGGCGGCGCTTCAGGTCGCCGATCTCCTCCTGGGCTTCCGACTTGATGTCGTTGGCGATGACCACAGCCGTCTGCAGGTCAGCTTGAAACTGCCGCCACTCTGCGGACTCCTCCTGCGGGAAGAAGCTCAGGCTTTGTCTCTGGAAGGGAGCCAGGAAGGGGAACTCGGACGCAGTGCAGTTTAGGGACAGATGCTGCACTCCTGAGGGGTGATCCATGTGTTTGTAATTCCAGAGCACTGCCACTACCCATTTCTGTACCAGGCAAGGACATCGTTATCACGGTCCTTGTCCTGAAGGAAGGAGCCCTGGTGGCACAGTGGTTAAAGCACTCGGCTGTGCACTGAAATGTCAATGGTGCAAACCCACCCATAAGTCCACAAGAGAAAGATGAGGTGGTCTGCTTCCATGAAGGCTGACAGCCTTGGAAACCCTGTGAGGCAGTTCCACTCTGTCCTCTAGGGGCGCTGTGAGTCAGAATGGACTCCAGGCAGTGGGTGTGGTTTGGGCTTTGCTTCTGTGAAGACTGACAGCCTTGGAGACCCTGTGGGCAGTTCCACTCTGTCCTCTAGGGGCGCTGTGAGTCAGAATGGACTCCAGGCAGTGGGTGTGGTTTGGGCTTTGCTTCTGTGAAGACTGACAGCCTTGGAGACCCTGTGGGCAGTTCCACTCTGTCCTCTAGGGGCGCTGTGGTCAGAATGGACTCCAGGCAGTGGGTGTGGTTTGGGCTTTGCTTCCATGAAGATTGACAGCCTTGGAGACCCTGTGGGGAAGTTCCACTCTGTCCTCTAGGGGCGCTGTGGGTCGGAATAGACTCCACGGCAGTGGGCTTGGGTTTTGGTTTACTCTCAATGAGCAGAAGCCTCTCCAGCTGGCCTGTCCACTGCGACAGCAAGCACTGCATGCTCAGTAATATTAAGGATGACAATGTCAAGCCGCCCTTCCTCATACAATTTTAAAGCAAGTCTTCTGAAAATAAATACATCCTGCAAAAGTCACAAAGCTTTACCTCTGAGCAGCTCAGGATGGTGTGGGAATGGTGTGTGACCCACACTGAAAGGTTTCACAATGAAACACTGTAAATACCCTGACATCAAAGACCAATGAGGGGAAATGTCGGAAGTAAAGGAAAAGGAAGAGGAAGAGAAAAAAACAAACATCTGCTCAACCCTCCACAGACGGAGGGCACAGAGGGGAGGTGCCGCTAAACCCTCCACAGACGGAGGGTACAGAGAGTTGAGATGCCATGAACCCTCTACCTTGCACCGTCCCGCGAGGAATCCCCCAGGTCTGTTCCTCAGGGTCCCCACAGCATGGCGGCTCCCCACCGTGGAGACAGCCCACAGACCAGCCTGACTTCTCTAACACATGATTCCTTCATTCCTCTTCCTCGGGCTGCGGCTACCACCTGTAACTGACTGACTGGTCCTTCGCCCCGCATCTAACACCAGCCCCCACGAGCCATGACGGCATTCCGTGGCTCCAGTGTCCTGTGTCCGACGGTGACAGGGCACACACGGCTGTACCTCATCTCCCACAGGCTGGTATTCCAACGCAACACACGCGCGGCTTTACCATACCCGCAGTCTCCTGTGCAGCGTCTTTATTTCTCGTTCCATGTCATGCTTCTGGTCCTGGAGTTTTTTAACTGTATCTGCAAAACCACCAAAGTGGAAATATTTAGAACAGAGCCTGTGTTCCAAACGAATGTTACAAAGGGAGAAGGCACTTAAATGTGACATTCAAAGAACAAACAACCAAAAAAGGCCCAAAGACATACAGAAAAAAAGTGTTGTCCAATCCAGTCATTAATTACCCAGGATAACTGTCTAAAGCAAACATCAAGGTTCAGTCACAATTTCCAGATCCCTCCCTGCCTCACTGTCTTAATTAAAACAGAAAGTTCAGTAAAAGCACCTGCTGAAAATGCACACACTGTGGAAACATCACCAGTCACACTACTACCCACTGTTACTAATGGGTCAAAGACCAGGGTTGTAACTGATGCAAGCATAGCTCACACCCTGGAATAAATTCCACCCCAGGGGAATGAGAACAATTTTCACTAACGTTTACATATTTTGCTATTTCAATTAATCCCACACAAAATCCTTCTACAAAAGAAAGAATATATTTATAAAGTAAAACAGTGAAACCAAACCAAACTGCACCCACTGCCATGACGTCAATTTCAACTCACAGCGCCCCTAGAGGACAGAGTGGAACTGCCCACAGGGTCTCCCAGGCTGTCAGTCTTCA